AAAAAAAAATATTAAAGCGGTCAATAGTGTCCCCCCCCCAAAAAAAATATGAATAATAAAAAAATGTTACTTTTAGGAAATGGCCATACCCCCCCCCAAAAAAAAGTAATAGCGCAAAAAAAAATGTGGTGATCTTCCTTTATATTCCCCCCCCCAAAAAAAACAAAGGGATAAAAAAAATTGAAAATGAATTTTTATTGACAACCCCCCCCCAAAAAAAAGTGCGTATAAAAAAAAATAACTCGTTGATCTATCTTTATTACCCCCCCCCAAAAAAAATTTTAACATTAAAAAAACCTCCCCATTCTCTCTCGGCCCCCCCCCCCCCCAAAAAAAAAGCAGGCTATAAAAAAAATAGAATATGACACTAAACCTAATCCCCCCCCCAAAAAAAAGATGCCCTTAAAAAAAAGTCTTTGTAGTTTAGTGTTTTTTTCCCCCCCCCAAAAAAAATAGCTCTGAAAAAAAAATCGATGTCAACAATGAATTATTCTCCCCCCCCCAAAAAAAACGGACAATATAAAAAAATGGATATTATGATATTTAGATATTCCCCCCCCCAAAAAAAATTTTGCAAAAAAAAAAATATGACAGACCATATATAAATATCCCCCCCCCCAAAAAAAATCAGTCACGCAAAAAAATCGGGCCGTGAACTTTGACACCTACCCCCCCCCAAAAAAAAGTGGTGATCCAAAAAAATTCCTTTATTTTTTTGACGTCCATCCCCCCCCCAAAAAAAACTAGTACTACAAAAAAACCTTAAAGAACTTATGACGCATGACCCCCCCCCAAAAAAAAGATCTCAGTCAAAAAAAGCTGTTCAATTAAACTCGCCCGTACCCCCCCCCAAAAAAAAATAATTAAAAAAAAAAACACTATCTTTAATTTTATCAAAGTCCCCCCCCCAAAAAAAACACAATGGATAAAAAAAGCCGTGACCGCATCTTTATATGAGCAAGAGATTTGTCCTGATTGCATACGACTTTAACTTTGTTYTTCTCTTAAAAATGATATCTTATCTTGAAGTTTTTATCAAGATATTGAGATTTGATAAACTATATAACATATTCGTATCAGACCGCTCCCGCTCATATTTTTTTATACTATAAAGCGCGCGCTCTGATTGGATAATATTCTATGGAAAAGAATGGATGGTTCATGCTGGCTACTAAAGTCGCTCTGAGAGCCCCCCCCCCAAAAAAAAATGAGTTTTTAAAAAAAGTGAATATTTAGAYTTTTTTGCAACCCCCCCCCAAAAAAAACGTTTGGTTTAAAAAAATCATTGTATMAAATGCATCTGCATCCCCCCCCCAAAAAAAATACTAGTTTGAAAAAAAACAATTCGTGTCTCAGTAATCCAAACTAAATAGTTGAGCTCAAATGTCCACTTTCGTGTTTCAAAATTCTCATAATATTTATCCCCCCCCCAAAAAAAAGCACGATATTAAAAAAAATATTGAAATTCTGACCAATCGATCCCCCCCCCAAAAAAAATGGGCTGCCTAAAAAAACACACAGGAAGCCCGCGACTCAACCCCCCCCCCAAAAAAAATTTTACAGCCAAAAAAACATTGTGGATATAACAATCCGTGTCCCCCCCCCAAAAAAAATAAACATTATAAAAAAATTCTTTTTCTATAAACATTCGCGTCCCCCCCCCAAAAAAAAATCATTTAATAAAAAAAACATCTCTACATGTGTGTGCTGTTCCCCCCCCCAAAAAAAAAAGTTGATAGAAAAAAAGATGTTGGTCCCCAGCATAGGACGCCCCCCCCCAAAAAAAATTCAGAATTTAAAAAAAAAAATCCTTATCTCTGATAAAAAACCCCCCCCCAAAAAAAATTTCTCTCTAAAAAAAACCGAGTTTGTGGAGTTATGCTTCTCCCCCCCCCAAAAAAAATAGAACACGTAAAAAAATGCCGCAGTCGCATACCTAGATCGACACCATGGGGAAACACGTCTATATCTTACCTACCCTCCCTAAGGCTACATTGTACTACCCCCCCCCAAAAAAAAGGCCCTGCATAAAAAAACCGTAGATAATATTGTCTTTGTGTCCCCCCCCCAAAAAAAAATAATCAACCAAAAAAATAATGTGGTGCGGGTTAGAGGTCGCCCCCCCCCAAAAAAAAATCAAGTAAAAAAAAAACCTCCATCGATCCCTTGCTTCTCAAGGCTCCTGACATGTTTCTTTCATATCTGAAGCACCATGTCCTTCCAAAGTAAGTGCCCCCCCCCCCAAAAAAAAATTGCGCAACAAAAAAAGCTATATTTTTTTCCTTTTTTCTTCCCCCCCCCAAAAAAAATTTCAGAAGAAAAAAAAATTTCTTTTGATTCCATTCGATACCCCCCCCCCAAAAAAAATACAACATGCAAAAAAAATTKCTCCGCCGCAAGTATAACGACCCCCCCCCAAAAAAAAGAGTTTTTTTAAAAAAATTGACATAAACAATGTTAAACTTTGTAATTGTAGTTTTATTCTGCAATGGCAAAAAGTAGTCTAATGTTTCAAAAATAATTTCCCCCCCCCAAAAAAAACGATAAATTGAAAAAAATCGCTGCTTTAATAATTTCTTTGTCCCCCCCCCAAAAAAAAAATACTGATGAAAAAAATTGCTATGAATACCTTCACCAATTCCCCCCCCCAAAAAAAATCTAACAATTAAAAAAACTTATGTAAAGTCCCGGTGTAAATCCCCCCCCCAAAAAAAAAAAGTACCTGAAAAAAATGTGCAGAAAACTAGTTTGTAACCCCCCCCCCCAAAAAAAAGTGCATTAATAAAAAAAGGATTTCCAATTACACAAGAACCTCCCCCCCCCAAAAAAAACAGTGTGTGTAAAAAAAGAAAATGCTGAAACATTTCATTAGGTACTTAATTCAACCAAGGTTTCTCATCGGTGCAATCCTACCCAGGAAAACATTGATACCCCCCCCCAAAAAAAACTTCCTTAGCAAAAAAAGAAAACACAAATAATAGGGCACTACCCCCCCCCAAAAAAAACTCATTGGATAAAAAAAAGTATTGCATAGTGAATGATGTAGCCCCCCCCCAAAAAAAAAGGACGAAAAAAAAAAAAATTTAGCCACCTAAATAATATTGACCGTCATTATAAGTGCTTCATGTGAACTTGGGAAGTCACCGATCGGTGGGGGTTTGTCCCCCCCCCAAAAAAAATTGCATTTTGAAAAAAAGTGAACCACATGACTCAAATATCTCCCCCCCCCAAAAAAAATTTTATTGTCAAAAAAACTCCATAGCTTTTTTGAAATATTACCCCCCCCCAAAAAAAACCGGCATAAAAAAAAAAATCTGTTATGAATACAAAGATAGGCCCCCCCCCAAAAAAAATTCCTTTGGGAAAAAAACGGTTTTCAAAGTAGACAGTTGAACCCCCCCCCAAAAAAAAGCAGACGTATAAAAAAACCTAATTTATTACAGTGAATWCCGCCCCCCCCCAAAAAAAAGGWTATATTCAAAAAAATTCTGAATACRGACAGTAGCATCTCCCCCCCCCAAAAAAAATTTTGTCTGGAAAAAAAATGCTGCGGTTGTTTTCGATGTTCCCCCCCCCCAAAAAAAATATATGTCAAAAAAAAACACGAATTCGGATTTTGTTCCTTTCCCCCCCCCAAAAAAAAGTAAAAAAATAAAAAAAGCTTGTGTTGCATCTAAACACACCTTAACTGTCAAGTGGTCACGGGATTTGCTATAAACCAGACAATTCATCTCTGTCCAGTCCCCCCCCCAAAAAAAAGACTGTGACCAAAAAAATAAATACACCTACTCCCCCTAGAGCCCCCCCCCAAAAAAAATTGTACCCATAAAAAAAATTAAAAGCAAACATTGTATCTATAACGACTTTTAAAAGTGTGCGAAATAAAGTTTAGAGGGAAGATGAATAACATTTTGGACCCCCCCCCAAAAAAAATTTCTGGATGAAAAAAAAAAGCGCTTACTCAATTGCGAACGCCCCCCCCCAAAAAAAAAAAGTTGTTGAAAAAAATATAAATGGTTATATATACGCTCACCCCCCCCCAAAAAAAAGTTCGCCACGAAAAAAATTAAGTAATTTTACGGAGCTAAAGGTAACGGATGCCTATGTGATGCATTTCCTACAAGATTACAGGGAATAAGAGCTTTAAACCCCCCCCCAAAAAAAAGGATGAACATAAAAAAAACAAAGATCATCATTACCATGGATCCCCCCCCCAAAAAAAACCTTTGTAAGAAAAAAACATGAAGCCTTTACTTGATATATGCCCCCCCCCAAAAAAAATAATTATTAAAAAAAAAACAAAAAAAATAAAATAAATAGATCCCCCCCCCAAAAAAAAATGAATGAATAAAAAAAACAAACTCAGATGCGAATTTCACACCCCCCCCCAAAAAAAAAGGAAACACAAAAAAAATCGGGGTCAGCAAAAATCAAATCACCCCCCCCCAAAAAAAATCGAAACGTTAAAAAAAAAACGATGCAAATGCATTTTAACACCCCCCCCCAAAAAAAACAACAACAACAAAA